TGTTTCATCCTATGTGTTTCCTTTTAAATTTCGCGGCAGTGGGAAAGTTAAAACTCATTGCTCTTTGATAGGGGAATGGACTAAGATAGGTGACTACTGGAATAGAACCTGTTATTTCGTAGTTGTATGACTTGCAACGGAACTGAAAAACTCATTGTGATAGTTTTAAAGGTTTTGAAGGATTCAATGATGTCAATTAATAAAGAAGGAAAAATTTCCTGCGATGGAATTAGAAAAAAAAAAAAAAACCGTAAAGCGTTAAAATCAGATCTAGACTTTAACTAAAATATTATTAACTGCTATTTATAAGAAAAACCATATTCTGCTCTTTGCCATGATCTCTATTCAATTTTACTTAGATAGTTTTGATGAATGTTTAAAATCAAATAATGACCTTAAACTTGTTTTCCTTTAAATGTAATCATTCCACTAAACATACCGTAAACATACCACTTATTTAAATACGTACAGCAATCATAAATGAATGAATCATTTGATGACCTGTGTTCTTGGAAAAATGGAATTTTTTCTGTAAAAAAACGTATGAATATTTTTTTTAGCCAATTAACTTGCTACACTAGTAACTTGTATATTATAAGTCCGTTTATATGTTGTTTAGTTTTTAAGAATGGAAAAATTTTAGTAAACATGATTTCAATAACCCTTAAGGAACGTAACAGTTGTTAAGAGCGTATTTGCTGTACGTATTTGCACTCAAATAATCAACTAATACGCTCGCTCACGCTCAGTAACACAAAAGCAATGTAGTTAATATTTATAAATTTCTTACTTTTTTAACAAAACATATTTCCATTCGTTAATTGATCATATTTTCGATTTAGCGGTAAATAGGGACTTGAAAGTTAGGCGGAGAGATGTGTTCTTATACCCTATACCCCTTAAGGTGCATTAAGTTTGTGCGGATGTAGGTAATACCCAGGAGAACATAACACAAACCCACCGTTTCTTTTACCTACGCTTGTCTGTTCATCTGGCCAAGCGTCCGTCTGATGTCTGTCCATGTATTTTTCTATTCAATCTACAGGTCGCAATTTTTGAGATATTTTAATGAAGTTTGGTACACTGACATGCTTCGGCCGAAAGATGTTCACAACTGATAATTGTCCGGATCGGTTCACCTTTTTGACCACTTCCCATATAAAGCCCTATTTTAAAAAGTCATCATATGGAACCTCCTCTCATATAATCGTTCCTACGAAAACTGAATCCATCTATGGTAAAAAGGTATAATTTCAATATTGCACATTGTAATTTCGTTCATAATAGCGAATTGACGAACAAATCAATCTTAGCGAATTTGAATTATGCCTATTTTTGAGATCATTCCATATAACGATTTTCAGAAAAGACAAATCTTTATATGTCTAAAAGGCCTAATGCTGCTAGCGTCTTATGATGAAAATTTGCTCATGGCAGTAATTTGACATAAAAGATAAGTGACCCAAGTTTGAACCGCATGGATCTATTTTTTGGGCCCTATTCCATATAAGATTTCTCATGGATAATTCCATCCAGAAAAAGTTGCAATTTTTAATATTTTATGATGAATATTCGTCCATGGTGGCAATTTAACAATTTTACATAGAAAGGTACATTTTTTAGACCCTTGTTATAAAAAGCAAGCCGCTTTGTGGAGGGGAAATCTTATGTCTACTTTTTCATCACGGAAACTGAAAAATTTTTGGAAAGTAAACTAAGTTTGAGAAATGTGGATCGCGTCACGTTATGTTTCGGTTATCCTCCAATATGCAGGCTCTCATGAAAAGAGTGCCTTCGCATGAAAATTATGTGCGTATTATTACTAAAATTAGTGAATAATTGTATTAGGCGAAGTGGTGTAGGGTATTTTCTTTGAAATCACTTTGAATTAAAACATGAGTTCTTCGTAGAGCACTCGTCTTTACATAGCTCATGTCAGCATGCTCTGACAAATATATAATAAAGTGAATTACAAGAAACTCAAAGAAAGTGTTAGGCTTCATAGCAGGAAAAAGAGAAATTCGGCTCCTGGCTTTTCTTTTTCATTGCATTTCAATTGAAATTTCCTTTAGCGTTTCTTTGAGTTTGTTTAACCTGTAAAGCGCAATTGACGCATCATATTTTTGATTTACGATCGATTAAGCAATCAGTGATGCAATATTTCTATAGAGCGATTATTGAAGCGAACTTTGACGGTTATTGATTATCTGATATATAATTTGGGGATTCTTTCATACACTCAATAAAGTTTAATGATATAATTTGCATCAGTTAACAAGTGCTGTAATTGAAAGAGAGTTAACTAAACAACATTAAGCTAAGCAATGAAGAAAAAGAGAGAACAAGTAAGAAAATTATATTCGGCGGTGAGGGAATGGTCCGTTATACCATTTACTATATTTCGATGCAAAGTTGCAAAAATTGTGAGAAGAATAAATGTGTTGCGATTACTGGCCGATTCCAAGGCCAGGCTACGGCTACACAATGTAAGGATGGATTCTTTTTCATAAAGTCAGTGAAGTATTTATTCCTTTAACAAATCTCTCAAGATCAATAAATTTTACATTTACAGCCGTATTTTAGCATTGTGCCAGAGGTAATAGTCATAAGCGATATGATAGATTAATAGTTCATAGTTTTCGTAATCCCGTATCGAATCTAGTATTGCGGAAAAATGACCAAAATAAAACTCTAAGATAAATTTCGGTGGGAAATTGCCTGCCAAGAAAAAGCCCTGTGGCTTATGGTGTCTCTGTAACGTTGCTCAGGATAGGGCCATTAAAAGCCTTGAATTTTTGCTTTATGCAAACCTTTTGTATTCATTAAGTGCAGCTAACTATATTCGTTAGAGACGTTTCTTCCATTACGTTATATGTTTAATTATAATCTTTACCAAATAATCTGCATCTGTGTCCATGATCGAGGGTATATTAAGAAGTTGTAATTAAAACTCTTTATGCAATTAGCGATTATTTAAGGGGAGACATTTGGCAACTCTGTTTTTACAAAAGATTTAATCAAATGTAAATGTTTGATTAGGTTCGATCGATTGTTGTGTTATTTGTTTCTGTTTCAATTGCTCACAGTTTGAAAGAAACCGGTTTGTTGTTGTTGTATTTCTTATTTATATTGAAAACATTTAAGTTTTATTTAAGCTTTGCTCAGTTCTGGTAGAGAGAATAACAAAACACAAGAAGTATTGTTTTAACAGAGAGCGTCGTAGTTTATTTGTTTAAATGACTATGTGGTTTTGCTCGAAGAAATTATTTACTTAACGGAGGTTCGTGTGGTGCGTTCATGTTTTCCAAGCGCGTCTAGCGAAGAATAGCAGGCAAACTAATGTGTTGTCTAAGTGAAGTGAAATATAATTGTAGACATATATGTATATATGTATATATATATATACATGTCTGAAATGAAAGCAAGTGAATTTGAAAAATATTAAAGATAAAATTCTGCTACACTTACAAGCAACACTTGTTGTTAGCGAAGAAATTACGGAATCTAAACGAAAAAAAAGAAAGAAGAGCTAATAGCTTAATAGAAATAAGAAACCTAAATAAATATACATAAAAAAAAAAAAAAAAAAAAAATTGTAAAAGCTTTTTTTCGGTAAAAAGCTAAAAACCTACATAATTTTTATTTTTTATTTCTTTTTCGTGATCGAAAACTCAAAAAAAAAAAAAAAACCTTAAACTACAACGAAGCATATTTACTTCAAGTAAAGACATTTTAAGGCAAGTACAACTTGCTTCTTGCGGACTCACTTGCGATCGCCTAGTAAAGCACAATTTTTTTTTTTTTGCCAAAAGCATCATAAAAAACCAACAAATAAACATAAAGAGCATAAGGCTCTGTTTGACTATGTTAAAGTAAAACTTAAAATCTGAACAATCAGTTGGCGGACTGTTTATTTGCTGCGTTATTTAATCGCATGTTCGTGTGCCGTGCATTTAACTACTAGTTCCTGCGTGTTTATGACGTTTGTTCGACCGTTTGTCACACTGTACGCATATTGTGCAATCAACCTCCAACTTAACATACTTCACCTATGTACATGTGTATATATCTTTTCGCGTGTACATTTACTTGTGCATACGTCTATCAATTCTAATGTGGTCGAAAGCTTTGCTCATACAACTCTTATAGATCTATACTTAAGAAAAAAAAAAAAAAAAAAGGAAAAAAGTCATATTGCAGCTGTAGCTGTAGCCAACAGTTGGCTATGCCGTATTGCACAATCCTTGGTTATATGCACACAAACAAATGTGTACATAGTTATTAGATACAAGCGTTCTGCTAATATAGCCAACGTCAGTATAAACAACATCTTCGTCATTGAAGTAATAGGTAGCAAGCACTCAGTGTTTTCTGTGCTGCTGCTGCTACTGCTGCTGCTGCTGCTGCTGTGTGTGAGAGTCGTTCTCGGTTGACTGACCAATTGAGTGTTGCACTATTATTATTTGACTTCTTGTCAGAAATAACCACACACAACAGGCACACACACACACCCATACAGCCATTAACACAAACACATACACTCTTATACAGGCGCGCGTGCGCAAACTCCAAACTTATAATCCAAAGAGGAAACATTGTTAAACAAAGGAAACCCGCGAAAAGCGTTAAGCGTCAAAAGCAAAAAAATTAAAAAAAAAAAAAAAAACAAAAAAAACATAAAACAAAAGTAAAATGCAATAATTTGTGACCCAGTTTTACATGAAAAACGAGCCATAACAAATCCGTTGCTCATTATTCATTCAAACAACTTGTTGCAGTTAAATAAAACAAAAAAAAAAAAAAAAAACAATATATAAATATAAATAAATAAATAAATAAATAAATAAAAATATAAATAAATCAATAAAATATATAATAGCATATGCGAGCGTATGTTTGTTCGCAACATTCATCATTTTATAATATAGTTTTAGTATTTCATTGTTGTTATACGTTATACTGAGAAAACTCGTCAAAATTGCGGTCCTACTTTGTTCCAGAATAACGGGGTACATAATGCGGCGCTTTCTGCGTACGGCCATGATCGTGTTCAGTTGGTTCGTTGTACCCTATAGCCGCTTCACCAACATCAAAGTGAGCCGCAAAAAACTGCCACCCATTAAATCGCACCTGTTGGAAATACCAGCTGTCGATTTGGCCAAAATGATAAGAACTAGAAAGGTAAGTTAATGTATTAACTGCTCTTCTTTTTTTCTTTTTTTTTTTTTCTTATTATTTATTACATGTTAGTCTACTTTGGAGAAATAAAAATTTAATTTCTATTTAATATATTTGTAAAACTCATTTAGCATTATCGGGGGGCTATAGCACTTAATATCTGAAAGAGATTATTTAAAAAAAAAAAAAAAAGTGAGAAATAAGTTTTGGCCAATGAATTGTAGATTCTCTTTTGCCCAAGTAACTTAAGGATAGTCTCTGCTCCTCTTAAGCTATTTTTTCTCCTTTTCTTTATTCGCCGATCAATTGATTTTGATTGTTTTCATTTTCATCATCATTTTGAAATTTCTTTAGTAAACGTTTGCTTATTACAGATCAAAAGCAAGCAGTATTTCGAAGTTTTTTTATTTATTTTCAAATTAGTTTCAGTTGCTTAGCTATTTTAAGAAATATGTTAAGACTGAGAAGATTAAATTTTACCAAGCATAGGGTATAAGTATTCGGCGCAACTGCCATAAAAATATGACTCTCAACTACAACCTAAGCTAATTGGGGTATAGACGTGCGACCAGACGAAAAAGTGGATAGATGCGCCCAGCAAGCGACCTCGCTGCAAGAAAAGGTGTGCACATAAGCATAACCGATTAAACAGTGGTATACATTACAGCAGCTGTTTGTCAATGTCACAGCTGCAGTAGAAAAATTCTAATAATAAAATAATAAACAAAGCAAAATCTTCGGTCACTTTAAAAGCAATCACGGACTTATCTAGAGACCAATTTGCAATCAAAGGCTATTTGCTGCCGATGTGTTGCTGTAGAGAGAAATCTGTTGATTTCAACTATTTAAAGTTTAACGTCCTTTTTGACCTCTTCAGATGTAATTTGTGTGCAAATCACACCTACGACGACTATCCACAAAGGGCAAACAGACAAAGCTGCAAATGACAGACGAACAAAATTAAAGCGAGATATCGGGATAGATGCTGCGGAGATTGAATGAACGTGAAATCGGCCAGAGAGGCGATAATCGGGCTAATGAAGGCCCCTGCGCTTAGTCGGACCGAGTGGGGGATAAATGACCAGACGGCCAGACAGACGCGCTATTGGTTAACGAACCAGACGCATTGATAATTAGGAAGATGACTAAGTCGTCTCAGTATATCCCAACGGTAAAGAGCATATATGTGTCAATAATTTCTATAGGATCTCTAGGAATTACGAACGGAAAAACGAGTTTAGTGTGCCTCTGACTCTCGATGGCGTATATAATAATGGATTTTAGAGAAATGAAAGAAAAATAGCTGGTAAATTGCGAAAAGTAATTTACTGATTGATGAAATAATTTGTATACCACACTATGGCAAAATCGCACATTTACTGTGCGTTCACACAGGTATGAGTATTTACTTGTACGCTTCCACTTTGCTTTCTTCATTAAGCAACTACCTAATGAAATCTCTTCAGGTCTTAAATACACTTTACTTAGATTTTGATTCTGAATTTAAAAAAATGTGTACCCTGTTCGCACACGCACATGAATTCAATGTAAATAACAAATATATGAAGGAAAACTATCGCACTTTTCTTTAATTAATGTTATTTATCAAAATGTGTTTCGTGTTATTTCAATGTATAGATTGAATGGCAATTATTTTATTTTCTCAAATATTTTTAATGCAAAAATGAATAAATTCTTCTCTTGTGTAAGTTTATATCGGTCGGTTGTATCTTCTATTAAAAAGTCTCTAAAAATTCAAGCGGAACTTGGCCGCTGTCCGGAAGGTGAATTTCGAATCTGTGGTAGTTGGCAGTGGACACGTGGACCCTTTCTAAAGAGTTGCCAGATTGTCTAATATTGTAGGTGGGAAGGAGGTAACGTTCAAGTCTGTCCAATTATTTCTAATATTTCAAAATATCTTTTTCAATTTAGAAGGTTTATGACCTGGAGGCGGTGGCAATATGCCTTAATGGCCTAACAACGAATTATAAATATTTCTAATAAACTGTTCATCCCTTTTTCTTATTTCTAATTGAAGGCGATAGCATCAGCTAGTCGTAGATTTTCGTAATTGCTTTTGAGCGAAAAGATTTTATCTTGCAATCGTATTTTATATAGTTGCCTTCAGTCAATTTAGGAGTTCCTCTAGCGAAACAAAATCATTTCCATTCTTTAATATACGCACAATCAACGGCTTGGTTGTTGATTTCTTCATCTGTTAAATCAGTTCCACTAATCATAAGGAAGCTTTAGAGATAGTGCGCACATATATATATATATATATATATATATGTATAGAAGATTCTTCTAATGACGAATACAATTTTCTTGGTCGTTTCTTTTCATATTCCTCGTTAAGAGGTGACGCCCCTGTAACAGCATAAAAGAAGGGTTTTTTTTGTGACAATTTCTTTAGGATAGAAGGAAAGGTAGAAAACTAAAAATATTTTTATAAATTTCAAAAAAAAATTTTTTTTTTTTTTTTTTTTTTGATTTTGTAGATACATACTTTGAACATTTGTGGTTATGTGGGAGAAAATTCAGTGTCTACAAAATAATTTTTCCGTTGAAAAAATCAAACTTCCTCTGCTTGTCTCAAATGTATGTCTGCCGGGATGTTGCACCCTAATAGCTTGCCTATTGATTTCTAACCCCTCTGATACATTAACGAATGTCTTTGGAAAGCGTTTATGTTCCGTTAAATTGTTTTTGCAAAATGTTAGTAGAGCTATTTCTAAAAAATGCTATATATTTCTGTAGATATGGGAACGCA